TTTTTCTGCTGTGAACCTCTCTCTTCTTGGCTGTCATGATACCTCATGCTCCCAACTTCCTTCCTATCTCTCTAGCCATTCCTTCAAGATACCCTTTGCAGGCTTATCCGCTTCTGTCTGCCCCTTGGTGGTCCTCATTTCTGGGCCTCTTTGCTTCCATTATTCCTCTATATACTATACCTTGGTAATCCCATTGATTCCTATAGTGGCTTTAATTGCCATCCATCTCCCCCAAATCTCTATCTCCATCCCTATCCACGTCTCTCTGCTCCAGACCTACGTTTCCAACTCCTTTTTAGACATCTACACCTGAATGTCCCATCTCAAAATTAGATACCCATGACTGAATTTATCATCTTTCTCAATAATTCCCCTATGATCACTGCCACTGTTACTATCTCAGTGAGTGAATGGCATCATCAGTCATTTGATTTCCCAAGCCTGGGAAACTTCAAAGCACTACACATATTTTTTTTTAATTGAAGTATAGTCAACTTACAGTGTTGTGTTAGTTTCTGGTGTACAGCAAACTGATTCAATCATGCATATATTTTATATATACACACACATTCTTTTTCACATTTGTTTCCATTATAAATTATTACAAGGTATTGAGTATACTTCCCTGTGCTATACAGTAGGACCTTGTTGTTTATCTGTTTTGTATGTAGTACTGCTGTGTGTATCTGCTAATCCTAAACTCCTAATTTATCTTACCTCCACTTGTGCCTTTGGTAACCATAAGTTTGTTTTCTGTCTGTGAGTCTCTTTCTGTTTATGACACATGTTTTTATCATTACTAAAATTTTCGATTACAGAAAGTACAGCTGCTTTAATTTTATCAAAATTAAAACAATCCATAAGTATATAAAATAAAAAGTGAAAGTCCCCACCAATCACTTTCCCCAGGCGTAAACCACTGTTAACGTGAAAGCGTGTATCCTTACCGACTTTTCTGGGGACATATATCTGCCGATATGCATACACGCACAAAGTTTTGTTTTTACACATTCTTTATCATACTGTATGTACTGTTTTGCAACTTGCTTTTCAGTGTAAAATATATTGCAGATATCGTTACATTATACATCAGATTGATATAACTTATTCTTTTTATTAGCTGCACATTTAGTTTCCTGTCTCCTCAGGCAATTATAGGAATTGTCTTATTCAGTACCTCAAACGTAGTGGATGCTTAATTAGTATTTGAGGAATTAGACTCATAATTAAGTGACTACCGTTTATTATGCTTAACAATCTCTATCACACAATTGGAAGAGTTAGCATTTATTACTGGGGACAATTTGTTACAGGCGTGGACGCTTTATTACCCTCCCCCCACCAAAGGCCAGTCCTAGTTTGCTGGGGGTAGCACCGTGGCTTATACAACATTGCATCTTCTATGGTGTTTATTGTAGAACCGGGGTCAGAGGAAGCACCTGTAATGACCAGCATGCTGTACTTGGTTAGATAAACAGCTTAAAAGAATGTCAGACCTCCGTGAAGACTATACTTGCTCACGCTTCTGGGCTTGGGTCAAAAGGAGGCAGAGAAGAGAGGGGTAACTTTCTACCACTCACTAGCTGCACAGCCACTAGCCCCAACTAGGAAATATTCCTCAACCTCAAGTCCACAGCCCAGTTTCTTTCTTCTTTCTTTCTTTCTTTCTTTCTTTCTTCTTTCTTTCTTTCTTCTTTCTTTCTTTCTTCTTCTTTCTTCTTTTCTTTCTTTCTTTTCTTTCTTTCTTTCTTCTTCTTCTTCTTCTTCTTCTTCTTCTTCTTCTTCGTTTCTTTCTTTCGTTCTTCTTCTT